TATTTAATTAGCCCTTTCTCTATTTACTTTTTCCTAATGAAATATATACGCTTTACATGTACATTCTTAATGACTTTGTCATACGACTTGCTTTAATCTGATGCAAAAATTAGCCAACTTTTTTTTCTTAGACCTTTAGAGCATGTGTAAAACACAGTGACGTGCTTAGTGTGGGCGTATTAGCTTATGATTTACACGAGTGTAAAAATTGCAATTATTGAGATAAAACACGAAGTAAGTAACGTAATGGTTTTAAATTAAAACTTTTAATAGTTTGGGAGAATTATGAAGATAAGATTTTTTAAACAAACAGTACGGATATTTACACAATAAGTTACTTTTTTATTCAAATTTCAGAAAAAAATGTATCTTTAATCGGCCCATAATTCAAACTTTATTGTTGTCAACACTCGTTACTAAGAAATTGATTAGGTATGTCCTGGACACTTTGATTTAGACCAATCGGTCTATTTTTTTTTCGGTAATCACGTGCAATCGCTATAAGACGCTGCTAACATGTGTCTAATAAAAATAAAATATAATAAAATATTGAGTTAATTTTATACGAAAAATACACTGTGAGACAAAGTTACCCGTAACCAGGGGGTAACTTTGCACACCCAGTTTTTAATTTTTATTTTTGAAACTCAGCCCTACGTGCTATTATGACATAGTTATTATGAAAGTGCAACTCAAGACTCAAATTTTGGTATACAATATTTAATGTTTATGATTGTTAAATCCACAAAAATTTTAAGTTTAAGTTTAAAGCCGACTTCAATCTGGAAGCAATTTTTAAATAAAAAAAGAAGTAAAAGAATAGAAAGAATTTTGGAAATTAGTAGGTAACCGATAACTTTGAAGCGCTGAAATAAAATTTTGGACGTGGTCCAAGAAAAGGGACCTAGCATCCAAAAAACATTATTTTAAGTAGAGGGGTAAACGATATTTTAAAAGGTCCAGATGAAATTGGCTATTCATTTTTAAAGTCGAGAGTCACTACACAAATGCCTATGCCGCGACTCTCCTATAAAATTTTATTTTTCGGATCGCGTCACTTATGTAAAAAAACACAGCCCTGAGTGTCACCATCAGCACCGGAAACAAGCTAGGACTTTACTTTTTAGTATTATTATCGCCCACGTTTTATATTTTACAAAAATAACTTAACTAATACCACCAACCCCCTTTTTTTCATTCATACAGTCCACTGCCTACCAAAATTAGTAGGTACTAATTTTGGTTCCACTTTACTTTGATATATATCATTTAATTGTTAAAATTATAATAAGCAATGCCAAAGATAAAAGAAAATTCTAGTTGAAAAGAAATTTAAAAACAAAACATCATTTTGATGAAATAATTAATTTGTGCTGCATAAGTTCACTAAATTATTTTGTTGTACTCAATGTCGCCAATTATAAATTTAGGGTCAGTAGAATTTCCAACTAAACACCCAAATTTTTGACGTTTTTGACTTTAGGTTGTTGCAGCCCGCCGGATGTAGCAGTCATACGTATTTGGCTCAAGAATAAAAGTTTGAGTAAGGCTGCTTTTCCAAGAACATTAAAATATTTTACTTTTCTCCTTACTTCCATTAATAATTAAAATATATTAAATTTTTGAGATATTTGATATAAGATGTTCGGGTGTACCCCAGTGTAGCATAAAATAATAAATAAATAAAACTTGTTTTTGCCTGTATACATTTCTGCAAAATTATTAAAATTATTATTATAGTTTCATAAATTATGTTGTTTTTAAGAAATTTATTTTTCAAGGACACGCAAGAAATGGCACCAAAAGCACCAAAAGAAAATATTCCCTACTTGTGCCGAGTAATAAAATAAAATATTTTTGTAAACAAAATAAATATTTAAACCCATATTTAATATTATCCATAGTAATTTTGTCCTTTTAATAAATTTTTTTGAGGTTAGGTTTGTGGGTATTCGGACAGGAAAAATTAAAAACTTATTTTAAATTCGCCTACGTTTCGAGGGCATTTACTGCTCTCTTCCTCAGGGCTAATTCAAAAAATGTATTGACAGCTCAGTCATATCGTCAAGCATATATACCGCAAAACGGCATGTACTCCAATAAAATAATCCAATACAATAAGAAACCTTCTGATAGAATTTTTTGAATTGGCCCTGAGGAAGAGAGCAGTAAATGCCCTCGAAACGTCGGCGAATTTAAAATAAGTTTTTAATTTTTCCTGTCCGAATACCCACAAACCTAACCTCAAAAAAATATTTAAAATTGTTTTTCTACTCCCACCTTTAAAACGCCCTTTATCGTACATGTTTCCATGACACTAAGTGACCTTTTAAATACACATTGACAAGTTGTGGCTTTACGGCGCTTTAGTCACGGGCTGAAGTTAGCAACAGTTTTTTAATCACAGGCTGAAGTTAGTTGACAGTTGTCAAATGTCATACAATCGTTAAAATAAAGTGCCTTTTTTGAAAAATAATACTAAATGTGAAAATTATTTTATTATCTCAATACAAAAATACAAAAATATTAAATAGTTTCTCAACGCCAAAAGTAGAAAAGTTTATAAGAACATTGTACTGACCTTTTAATTTCGCCGGCAGTAAACTATAACTTAAATTCGGGCACGGACTCTACTGTAAAGTCCTCATAAAACATTTCCTTTAATTTCACTGTGAAAAACTGTCAATTTTCAAGATACATTTCGACTTATAACCTTTATAATTGTGTTTATAAAATGTAAAAATGTGACATTTTTCCCTGTTGTTTCATAGATGGCGCTCTATACAAATTTTTTATTTAAATCATTTTAAGATAAAAATAAGTAGGTATTTGTCGTAGAAAAAGTATAGTATGCAAACTTTTCTACACACTCATTAACTTAAGCACTCTCTCGCAAGCTCTCTCGTGCCTAAATTAAATTCGTGTATAAAATGGGGTTTATCAAATTTGATACATAATATACTATTTTGTATTATGTAAAGTTTACATTGTAAACATGTATTTTTTAAAGCCATATATAATACAGTTTTACCCCACATAAAAAATAAGGTATTATCTTATTTTTTATTTGGGGTAGCAATCCAGGGTTAAATTACAGCTTCTTGGAGGCACAGGTATATTTTTCAAGTTGTTCCAAGGCAAAATAAGCAAATTCACAATGGTCAATAAAATATTTTTTTTATGAAATAATTTAAAAATACAGTGATAAAACTTATGCTGTATTACCTCTGTTAATAACTCCTTTATAAATAATTTGTTATATAATATCCTACCTTGGTTATTATCTATAAATGGTTATAGTATGTTAGATGATATTTAGTGGGCTATTTTTTGCAAATGATGATAAATCAATAAAATCACTTAGGAGTATTGTAATATTAATAAATGATATATAGCGTGCAAGGGGAGGCACCTTGGTGGTCGATTATCTCTCAAGCCGTCCAAAATCCACAGAGTGCTACTTGATGGTTAACTTGCGGGCAGTTTTGGAAGGGAAGCGATCCGCCGGCACCAATTTATTTTCATTTCCACAATAAACAGCGGATTGACAGCACGCACTATCAAATGAATCATGAAGAAAAAATCCCCCGCTTTGCGTTTACACTGAAAAAAATAAGCTGTTAAAACAACAACACAAAATATTAATTCAACTCTTTATGCACTTTAAATACAAGCAATTGTTTTTGCACGTTTACTTAACCATCTAAAAATGTCAAATTGTATTGTTTAATTGAACAACAAACATTAGTCAAATGAACAAAATGAGAATATTTGTTCTAATTTGCTAATCTGGTTAATTAAACATTTCGAAAATGGTTGTGCTAACATTTTTGAGATGTTAAGGTAAGGTTCTTGAAATGACCAGGTAACCTTTTTAGCATATTCACTTAACACCAATAAAATGTTAAATTAAAATAATGTACGCTAACGTTGGGTTAATTAAATTATGGAATTTATATAAAGAGAAAGAATTGAACCTTTCCTCGCCAGAATTTTTGTTTTAAGTGCGTTTCACCTACTTCAAATACCTACCGACAGACAGCTGATTCAACCTATATTGGGGGTCTTATCACTGATACACAGTATCGGGCAATTTGGTGTAGTGGAAGTTCCACTGTGGAACACACCAAAAACAAACAGCTACCTGAGCTTATATACTCCTATCGTAAGCCAAACTGAGGCGAGATGTGGGAACATCACGTGATCAACACCGTCTAATGACGAATTTTAAAGTAACATTTACAATTTGTTAAATGAAAAAATTTAATGTTTTGGATTTAAAGAACAACTAAACGTTAATTTAATTGTTTTTTAGGTAATCCTAAAAATTTCAGTATTTGATTCAACCAATTCCAGCTATTAAATCAAAATAGGATAAACATTTTAATTCAAAAAATTAGATTATGTTAAATCAATATTTAAACTGTCAAATGAACAAATGACTTTGACAAACTCTGACTATTGCTTTGACACCAAAATATAGAATAATCCAATAGGTTTTTTGTTGAAACAACATTATTTTTTTTGGTGTATATTTTATAAAACATTTTCAGTTGATTTGCGAATTTAATAAACGCTAAACCGACAGTTTATATATGCCCATTTAACTGTCTTCTTATCATTCTGAGGTTGGCACTACGTTTTACGTCTGTCCACCGAATATAAATTATCTAATGTTCAAGACCAAATAAATCATTCTTAATCCACACACATTTATCGCTACAATGCAAATAATTCATAAACAAAGAATAAAGTTTGTACTGAAGCAAGGATCAGTGAAATGAGTATTTGAAAATAATATACCTGTCTTATTCCAGGACAACCTTTAATACCATAGACATAAGTTTAGTATAATAATATTATATAATATTATATTATGCACTGCGAACTGGATGGATTGCTAAAATAAACATGTATACTAAAATGTTTACCCTGTATATTTTATTATTGTAAATTTGACGTTTACCTTTCAAATTTTCCTAATGCAAAATTAAAATAAAATGTCTTATAACCTTACAAATGCAAATGAAAAGTCTGAGGGCCAACGCAAGTCACCGTTAAAATTGACGACGGTTAAATTAGGAGAAAAGCACAAAACCAACATTTACAAAGGAAGTCTGTCGGAAAACAATTTTAAACAAAACAAATCAGGAAAAAATAAAAATGTAAACATTAAGCAAGTTAAAGGTGATACTGGCGGAACTATGGACAATAAACTCAACGAACAATTTGGCGATATAAATTTGGATGATAAAAACAATACCGAAACAGATAAAGCAAAAGAAATTAAGCCAGAAGACAGCCCCAGAAAAAATTCAGTAGAAAGAAAAAAAACAAACTATCACAAACTGACTTCTGCCATATCGGAACCAAGACCAGGTTTTTCTAACGCAAACAGTATTAAATGGGATCCTTATGATAAACAAAGAAAAAACAGAAAGGATTTTAAGAAAAAGAAACCTACCTTAAGAAAATCAGATGCCACTTGTGCACCTGTTGAAGGTAATTTAGCTTTGGAAGAATCAAAACAACCTGACGACACAGAAACTTATACTTATGTAGATGATGACCAAACGTACAAATTCAAGTATCTACCGAAAAACTCGAAATCGGTCCTGTTTACCAAAGACGTGATGGTCGTTTATTTTAACGGGGAAAGCATTCTAAATCAATCCAAAGAGCCATTAAAAAAAGAAGTCGAGCAACAAATTAGAAATAAGGAGATGCGGAAAACACATTTGATAAAAACGCAGGAAAAATATAATTTGTGCCTTTTTTAAGAAACAACATTAGCATTTGTAAGGTGTAGCTATTTATACAATTTAATGTATATGTCTCTTGTATACAACTGTCATATTTTTTAATATATATTTTCAACAAAAGCCGTATTGAATATTTACTACGACCCGTTCATATTCTTTTCGTGATATTCATATCCGGTTTAAAATTAATATGATTGTAAAAACATACAACATTATTAGAAAGAAAAAAGGTTAAAAGACATATAGGGGAATTTTTAAAATTGTCACACTTAAAAACTATTGTATAGTTTTATCTAGTTCAAAGGATATAAAAATAATAATAATAATAGGACATTCCTTGATCAATAAGTCTTGTAGTTGTTATAAACAAGCTACTTTTTTATTGTTAAATGAAGGGAAAAATTTAAAAAGCTTGCTCAGTAATTATTTTTTTTTAATGGCAAATCCAGCCGCATTTAGGTTATTTTATTTACCCCAGTTTGGCCTTGGGCGGCTCAGGTCCCCTCAATATTTATTTATATATGTAAACTCACTTGTTTGTTATCTACTAGCGCGTGACACGCATGATTTGTCACTTTGATGTCGAGTCCGTTTAGGCGAAAAATTATACCGATCTTGATTTATATTCTGTGTGTAACAAAGTGCTAATTGAAACATCGGAGATTAAATCTAAATGCGGTTAATTAAAAAGGGTAGAGGTACCTATATATTTAAATTGACTACCAGTTGTCAGAAAGAAAAGCAAATATTAATTCAGACCCGGCTTTGTGTAACATGTTTGTTTATTCCATCTATTTCAAAATTGAAGCTCTTCAAAATCAACTGTTTTCACTGTTACCCATAAAAGGTAAAAATACTTTGATTAACTAGAACTAAGGGTTTTTGAAAATAAGTCCTTTTAAATGCAGATATTATTTTTGAGGCACAAAATCATTTTATGCGACTTGCTATGGAATCAGAGATATAGAGGAGCTAGATTAAGCTTTAACGTGCGCGAATGGGGACACACTATCGTCATATACACAACTAACCAGTACATTGTTTGCAGGATAAAAATATTATGTAAATATGTATTTGTGATTTGCTGTGATATTTATATTATTATTTGTATTAGTTTATATTCTTTAATACCCAGTACCTGATATAAAATCTTCTATTTTTTAAGGTTAATAAATAATTACAACTATCATAATATGGTAGAAAATTAATACTTTAATTCTAAAATGTTTTGTACCTTTTTGCTGATTTTACAGATACGTTCTTTGCAGCTTTTGCGGCCTGTTACAATTTTGGGCGGGGTTAAATTTTTAATTTTACATTAACTATCGCACATGTTCACTATTTTATTATCAAAATATTTAAAATTTTAAAAATATCTATGAAAACAGCAACTGGTCAAAATTGATAAATTGATTGTCAGATGTCCATAATTGGTATTGACAGATTGACAGTATTAACATGAGTATTTAATTAAATAATTTTTAAAAATAATTAAATAAAATTATATCTGTCAATTTTTACCAATATTAAATGTTATTATAGTCGCCTTCTCCCAATTTAAAACCCGATTGGTTTAAATCACAGTGAATATTGAAATCGGCCAATCATTGATGCCTAACAAACTAAATAATGAGTTTAATAATACTGTTTTTAGGCTTCGAAATTTTAATGTTTTTTTTATTATTGATGAAAACAATACAATAAATATTATAATATTATGAAATAGGAGTAGATATTTATTAAGCATATTAAGAATATTATTTAAACATTGTTTCACATTATTTTTAGGTTACGTGACATGATAATATTTTTTAGTGTAATTTTTAGGTTTATAATAATTTTTTTACTTTCAAACTAGTAAAATAGTACTATCGCCAAGCATAGATTTCACTGCCGAGGCGACACCCGAGGCAGTAGATTGTTTGTGAGGCAATTAATAAACTTTCGCCGCCTTGTTCTATATAGTATTTTATTTCAAGCATTTAATTAAATAGTTTATTAGGATTTTGTCTGATCATTTTTAGGTTAGTTTCAACTGACATGATTACATTTTAGCTTTATTTTTGTACGGAGTTTAATAAAAGTTTTACTTCTGTACTACTATTAAAATAAAGTCTTTTTATATGGAAAATTATAGTACCTACGCTTGAAAAAAAATATTATAAATAACTAAATCTACTAAAAAAGCCTTAAAGAGATTTAAAGAGTTTTTTGTATCCCAAATTCAACAATAAAAATTAAGTAAAAAAATTAAATTATTAAAATTTCTATTTTTGGATTAATGGTTTCTAAATCCACTGTTTTTTTTAGCAATAGGTAGGTACCTCTATATCAGGACAAACTACTTTAATGAAACAATAAGTTTCACGACAACACCAAACTTTTATAACTGCTGATTACCCAAAAACATTGTTTTAGCACTTTTACCAGTCTAAGAAAGCCTTACCGACATTTATGTTACAATTTTTTTGTCAAAATATCGTTTGTACTATTTATAATGTTTTAATTGTACGACAAAATGTTTTAATACTAAAATAGCAATATATAACTTTATCTACTCCCATTGCAAAATATTGTTTTTTTTTTAGTGAATAATGATAAACATTATAAATGCTTTGCCTAAGAACGGGAATAATTAACTTAATATTCATCGGTGATTGGCCGCTTTCAATATTCACTGTGATATGAACCAATCAGGTTACTTGGTAAAAAGTGAGGTTATCCATTTGACAGTTGTCAGATTTTATTTAATTATATTTGAAAATCCTTTAATTACCTACTTATTGGAGTACACTGTTTAAAATATCTTTGGTGTAAAATGTAATCCTAAAATGGTGTCAAAATCCAACACCAAGTGGTGTTAATATAACACCATAATAATTATGGTTGAAAATGAACACCAAAACGGTGTTTATCTAAAAATATTTGAGAAGTGCACCTACACAGAAAAAAAGAAATAGTTCATTTAACTATATTAATTTAGTAGACCCATAAGTATTTATTTTTTTGTGGATCACGTGATGTTCTTAAATCTCGCCTCTGTTGACTTACATGAAGAATATATAAGCTCATGTTGTCCTTTGCTTTGGTGTGACACTACAAGTTGTTCGATACTAAAGAGACCTTAAATAGGTGGAAACAGCTGTCAATACTTGAAGTATTTTAAGTTAGTGGAACGAACTAAAAACATTATCTCTAGCGAGTTGAAGGTTCCATTTTCTGGAATAATACCACTGGTAATGTACTAGTAATGCGTTAAGGAACTTCCTGTTTCCTTTTTTTTTCCTTTTTTCTGTGTAGTATGATTTAATTTGACCACAAACACATAATATTTAACACTGAAAAGGAGTTCAATTTACACCAGTTAAAATTTATTTTAATACTGTGTAAAAGTTAAATTTACACCATTTTAGTATTTTAATTAACACCGGACCAACGAACCCTATTTAACACCATTTTGGTTTGTATCGATATAGACCAAATATGGTGTTAATTTGGTGTTGAAATGGTCATAAAATTTTAACAGTGTAGATAAAGTATAGTATATTATACTTTATCTACTCTATATTACACTCGTCTAGCGAGTCGAGACGCAAGCCTTGTCTTGGTGAATAATAGCCTACATTATCTCTCTTATAATAATATACTATTCAAACCTATATGTTTTAAAATATTACTTTATAGTATCTTCAAAATCACGTCCGTTGGTGCTTTGGTGCTATTAACGCTATGGTAAAAAGTTCAGGAGAGTGAAAAGTGCTAACCGTATGAATACCCAATAAATCAAAGTAAAAGTGTTTTAATAAATCTGATTTAGATTTGAATGTTTATCGATCAAATCTGAATTTAGTTGATTGATAGATTATGTCCGGTATACCCTTCAAGCCCATCATTCAGTGTGTTATGAAAAAGAGCCAGATCACGTATCAAACATTAAGCCGAATGTGTTATAAACCTTGGCAATGCATTAAACACATTTACCCTTCGCAGAATTAATGAAGTCCACTCATATACAAACAAACACTACACAGCATACATTTTCTGCGACAATCGAAATTAGCGAGCTTTACGAGATTATTATCCAAAATGTATTTTAAATTGTGCCGGGTATAAATAAATAAAGCAATTACAATTTTGCGGCCGTCGTTTCGGAGTTTTTTGTGTCATTTAGCGAAAAATATTTTTGGCCGAATTGTTCCCCGATGTGTAATACTGGTCCGGATGAATTTTAAAGGCCTCGATGAAATATCGCCCTGAATTATTATTCCAGAAGGTCATTTTAAATTGTAAATCGACGCGTTAAGCCTGATTTATAGATTGCCTTTCTTCCTTCCTTTCTTCCTCCCGTAAAAGATGAACAATACGAAAATCGTAGTGCCATTTATAGATCCCCGTACGGTATTGTTAATCTTTAACGGGAGGAAGGAAGCAAGTCAAGCTATAAATCAGGCTTTAGGACCAAAACTTTTTTTTGGTTGCAGATTTTGTAGGACACATGCTTAAATTATGATTATTTTAGCAGCTTTCAAAAACTGCATGCGAGAGTAATATTTCTACAAGTTTGCATGGCAACTTGAAATTTTAGTTACATGGCAATGTTGTTGCAACGTTGCTGAAATCTTGCCCAGCAACCGCATTGCAACGTTGCAGCAATATTTTGTATAGATTAACATAAATTTTAAAAGTTTAAAAATTTGGAGAGTGTCAGTGTCCATTAACTATCGTTCCTGGAAAAAGCTATGAACATGAACCATTTTCCAAAAAATAAAAATCCTTTTCCATTATCATTTTTCAATAAAAGGGAAACGCTAAAAAAATTGTATTTTTAATAGTTAAAATTAATATTTTTCTTTTCAACTTTTACATTGACCTTAATTTAATAGTAACCAACAAATGGATCAGAACTTATGAAGGGTTTTTAGCATTTTTCTTGGTTTCCATCAAAATGCAAACATAAAATATTGAAAAGAAAATAGTAAATTTGGCGGCTTTAAAAAAGGATAAAATGTAATAAAAAAGCACCCACGCAGTATTTAAAAATAATATTTTGTAGATAAAATCCTATAAACATACCTAATAAGTTGCATTTTTATGTCACTGAGTATACAGGGTGTTTCTA